GGCCTGTGTGTCAGGTGTGTGCGTCTGTCCCTCTCGGCCTGTGTCAGTGTTCTCAGGGTGGTAGTGGTCTGCAGTAGCTGTGGTGCCAGTGGTTGCTCTGCCGGTGTGGACTGGTGTGCTGTGGGAGTCTCTTCTGTTGCGTGCTTGATCCTAGCTGGCTGAGAGCTCAGAGTCTTATCCGCTGGCGGCTGGCAGCTCATGCTGGATTAGGGTTAAGGGGTCATGTTAGGAGAGCAGGCAAGGCTCTAGGAGTTTAAGTAGTGGCTGGTTTGTGCGTGTTTGGGGTGTCCAATGCTGAATTTAAACCTGCTGACCCACTTAGGGGCTGTGGGGGAGTCAGGGACAGGGTTTCTGGGGATTCAAGAGTGCTTGATTCCAAACTGAATTGGCTCCAGTGTTTCTCAGGGTGCGTAGCTGAGTTAAAGAGACCAGGAGAAGCTACTGGACAGAGGCTACGTTGCACCAGACCTGTGGGAACAGGTTAAAATGACTCCTGTGGAAAAGGGTGATGTTATCTGTACTGATGTTACGCATCTTTCATTAGAGGCAGGTCAGAGTGCTTTCTGCCGAGAGGTTCTCTCCTCAGCTTGGCATGTAATTAGTTTGCAGTCACTGCTGGTGTGTCCAGAGCCTGTCTTCGCTCGATCCTACTGGTCACTGTTCTGATTTTCTTCTCCCCCCTCAGACAGCAAGAATGGCAGCGGACAGAAGCAGCGCTACAGCCGCAAGCGGGAGCCGTCCTTTCCCAAGACAGAGAGTTTCCCCGGCCAGCGCCGCCCCCCCCCACAGAAAGGCAAGGCCTTTGACAAGCGGCCCCCCCAGAGAGGGGGTGGTGGCCGGCAGTATGGGGGCACAGGAGGGGGACGCAGAGAAGAGGTGAGTGGGGTTGGCGTGGGGACTCTGGGGGAGACCTGCTCATGTCAGTATCCAGACTGTAACTGGCACCAGAGTCCTGGCTGTGACTCCTGTTGTTCCCTATTAGAGTGCATCGGAGGAATGAGCTCCCCTTCAGGAATTCAGCTCAGAAAGCCCTGTTCCAGGCAGCAGGTCCAGGTTGTGGCCCCAGGGGGGCACTGGGTTCAGTGCTGGGCTGCCTTATGTCTGCCCTCTGGGAAAACGCTTCTGATTTCTCCTCTGAGGGATTTCGTCTCAGGCAACCATTGCGCTGCCAGAGGCTCCGTCCCCGACTCCTCTTTGTGCTTCAAAGGTGTCCATCAGAAGTCAATAATAATTATACTTATATAAATCTTTTTTGGATTTTATTGTTCTAAATTGTAAAATAACTGTATGTTGCTGATAATAGTCTGTGCAAACCATGATCTGGAGGGGACCCTTTCCAAGCTCTTGCCCAGGGTCCCCAGAGCGGAAGGGCCGTCTTGTTGGCAGCAGTGGGCAGCCAATTGTGAGTTGCTGGAGTCCTGCCGCCCGTGACTCTGCAGACCCGGCTGCTGGAGTCCTGCCGCCCGTGACTCTGCAGACCCGGCTGCTGGAGTCCTGC